GGGCGGGCACCCCTAAAAACAAATGATTAACAATCCAGGACAAGATGAGCCTTCAAGGAGATATTTGGAAACGACTGACATCAACAAGACAACATTCCGGTCACAGGCTAACAGAGCGGAATCCATTGATTTCAACGGAGCAAAGAATTATAAAAGCAGGGTGCTTTGGTATGGAACTTTGGGTTTGTCTTTCCACCAACACCAGAGGAGCATTGGCTCGATCGACCGACAGAGGCCCTGCTCTCCCTCAGTGTTCAATCTAGCTGGCCATAGACTGATACAGAATCTGGACTGGTAACTATAACATTGTCTGGCAAGACTCTGCGTGCATCTGGACTGGATTGAAAAGCATATGCAACTGTTGTATTCTCAATAAATGCGGCGTACTGCCTTTTCCCCATAAAAGATCTCGTGTGCTTTGTTTAAGCAGATAACACCCCGACTATTCAATGTCATGTCAGTACAACATCCATAGTGATCCACCAATGCTTGCAAAGCCATGGAAAAATAACCTTTTCTTTTTCTGTACACAAAAAGAAGAGGATGGGTGGGAGGATGAGGCACAGATTCAAGGAATTAATCTATTATTAATCTACTATTTCCTGCATTTTGCCCAGAGTCACAATCTCATGGAGCAGGACACACTTACATGGCCTAACACACCTGGGTGACAACCACTCCCATCTGAGGTTTTCCATCACCGCAGTGATTTCTCACTGACTGGTAACAGTACAAGAATGCGAACTTCCAGAGTGTGATGGTCACTTCTCCACTCTCAGAGTCTCTCTCAATTTTGGTGTATCTGCACTGCAGGACTGGGATGAATGTGATGTACAACTTCACGAACCTGACCTTCCATATCCAAAATCTCTGCAGTTACTACTGGTCAACCCCAGTTTGCACCATGATTTGATTTCACCACTCAGTGCTCATTTTACAGGGCCACTATCACTGCTTGACCATGTGCAGCTGGGAAATACAGGCAGTCCCCGGGTTACGTACAAGATAGGGACTGTAGGTTTGTTCTTAAGTTGAATCTGTATGTAACTGACCTTCCATATCCAAAATCTCTGCAGTTACTACTGGTCAACCCCAGTTTGCACCATGATTTGATTTCACCACTCAGTGCTCATTTTACAGGGCCACTATCACTGCTTGACCATGTGCAGCTGGGAAATACAGGCAGTCCCCGGGTTACGTACAAGATAGGGACTGTAGGTTTGTTCTTAAGTTGAATCTGTATGTAAGTTGGAACTGGCGTCCAGATTCAAAGCCGCTGCTGAAACTGACCGCCAGTCCTGACTTACATACAGAATCAACTTAAGAACTCCAAGCGTCCCCAAGTCAGCTGCTGCTGAAACTGATCAGCAGCTGATTCCAGGAAGCCTGGGGCAGAGCAACTCCGCCTCGGGGTTCCTGTAGG